TTTTATGGTACAGGTTAATTTAATAAAAGAAATTGAGCTATATCATAAAACATACATGTTATGATAATGACCGATAGGTTTTACATAGTTATTAACGAGCATAGTTAGGTTACAGATAATGTACAACGTGATATATCTAGGTGTGTTCAGGTTTATAAATATGGGGTTTACTACGATATTTATTACATGTTTATATTATTATCTTCTAAATATTTTAATTACTTTTAATATCTTTAATGTAACCATAAGATGCCAACACGCTTCAGAGAATTTACAATTTTTAAAACATGGTTTAAACTTTAAACTAGATATAACCGGATTATCTACAGGTTGATCCAAGAAAGACAGGAATCGAATAACAACATTTGTATTCCCAAAACCAGGAGAATAGTTGTGTATTGTTTTAAAATCAGGAAAATAATGTGTTAATTGTTTCAAGTACGTTTCTGGTCTGATCAGATTTACAAGTAAATGACAGTCGTCACTGAATTCTTATGTTAATTGGGACACCCTGTAAATAATCTAGCTTGAAGGACATCTTAATAGATTAAACTAGGTGCACCTATAGCTTGAACTACATCTTTATAGCTTAAACTAGGTGCACCTATAGCTTAAAGTACATCTCAATAGATTAAACTAGGTGCACCTGTAGCTTGAAGTACATCATTAATAGTTTAAAATATGTGCACCTATAGCTTGAAGTAAATCTTAATAGCTTAAACTAGATGCACCTGTAGCTTGACGTACATCTTTATAGTTTAAACTATGTGCACATAGAGAATAGAATATATATTAGAGGGGAATTTACTAGAAAAAAGTGTAAAACGGCCATTTTGTTGTACTGTTTCCATACTGCAGGTGTACTTCACATATTTATACTATATAACCTTTTGGGCCCTGGAATATCATTTTATAGAAAATCTAAAATTATTGTTAATAGAAAACCAAATTATGAAATATGTCTTTCACTTTACAAACGATGATTTTCCGTTATAACTATAAATCAAATGATGTTTTTTATTCACCTAATTTATTAAAAAGTTTATTTAACAGTTTAAAGAATTCGAAATTGAAATGAATAGTCATGGGAACATACTGTATTAATGTACTCTACTGCAAATAATTTGTGAACATTTACATGATTTGTACACTTTGAACTCCCTTTCAAGCTGAAAGGGACTGAAAAAATTCATACCGAGAGATTCTTTAAATTCCCCTCTAATATATATTCTATTCTCTATGTATGTGCACCTGTAGCTTGAAATACATCTAGACGTACATGTGCTTAAAGTACATTCAACTAGTTTTGCAGAGTACAAAACAAACAACATGTAACATTTAGACATACTTATTGAACACTTAAAACAACTGAAGCTAGTGTTCTAAAATTGAAAATGAGTCGGTTTTTAAAATAATAATGAATATTTTTGGATTTCTATATTTTAATCTAACGCCTATTTAGAACAGGAGGGGGATGGGGGGATGGCTAGAATTTACTTCTCTTTAGACCCCCTCCCTTTCAGCCCTGTAGGGTTAAGTTAGATTTTCTTAGGTTGTATAAATTGGATATACCATTCTAATTATTGCAATTAAAAGAGGCTTGTTATCTAGCTGAATACCATCAAAGTTTTAACTAGAGATCGAGATAAGATAATGTTCGGCATCATTTTTTTGTGATTTGGTCAAACAGAGAGATTTTTATTGAGGTTTTCTTACATCCTGTTTATACTGGGATTCTATAAATAATTTCAACAACGACAGTAAATACTATTTTCTTCATGCCACAGAGATACAAGCTGCTATTAAATCAAATCTCAAGACTTGGTCAACCTTAAAGTGTCGCAATGCCAAAAAGCAATTTTTAATCAACTCGAAAATCATTTAAACTTCTACGTGTAGCCCTAGACATATTTATTTTAGAACTATAAAGCACATGTATTTATTTTTATGTTAACAAAATATTGGTAAAGTAGCTTATCGATTTGAAACCTTTGGATCAATGTGCAGCTGTACACGAACTGTATTCAGTCTTTACATCATATAAAATATTGAAATTTACATTTAGAAATAAAAAGATCTTTTACCATTATATTTTAAAAGTTTGATTGTCGTCATTTAAGTCTCATGCTGTATATGTAACCAAGTATAAATATATACATACACTGTATATGTAACCAAGTATAAATGTATATACTGTATCTGTTCTGTATTTATTTATATTAACTTGCGGGGGAAGACGCAGCTCTGCTAAAACTTGGCAAAAGTTTGCGAATTTGATAGATAGATAGAGTAGACGTCTAGACTAGGTTTGCAGTTGAAGGTCATTCTTAGGTTCACAGACATTGTCTGTCGGTCTACAGCTCAATAGTACAACTCTTTGTCTAGTAGAATAATCTGTCAAGTGTCTATATTCTAAGGTAATCTGTCTGTTCCTTGGAACTTACATTGTCAATGCTCTAACAAATGTCTAATGAAGTGTCCCAATATCCTAAAATTGTCTATGTGTTTCTTCCAATATACTAATATTGCCTAATATAGATTGTTTCAATATTGGATAATTTCTAATAATATGTCCCAAAATTCTAACATTGTCTAATAGTTTATCTCAACCAAATTGTCTAATGCTTTGTCCCAGTATCCTAAAATTGTCTAGTGTTTGTCCCAATCTTCCAATATTGTCGAATAGTTTGTCCCAATCTTCTTTTATTGTCTAATTATTTGTCACAACATTCCAACATTGCCTTATAATATGTTACAAAATTCTTATTTTGTTAATATTAATATCTCTGAATCGAAAAAATTGAAAAAACAATTCTGAGTTTTCCTCTGTCAAATCTTGAATAAAAATGCATTTCAAATAAATTTCAGTAATTCATATTTATTCAATATTATCTATTTCATTTCAGTTTTGAAAAAAAAAATGTTTCAAGCATTCAAATGAGTATAAAAGCTTATTAAAAAATTACATATTACTTTAACATAACGTATACAAAATATACATGAATATGATACATAATATAACTATACCACATTTTACCATAATAATAAGAATAAGAAGACAAATGTTTAACTAAAGTTTGAAAAGTCCAACAAAGCTGTTGTGCAATGTACACAGAGCCATTTCACTTAAAGCGACTGTTACCGTAATGTTAAGTGACCCCTTCTATGCAAAAAAAAATAAAAAAATAACAAAGAGATAAATAAGAAAAAGTCAGTCCACTAGGTTTAAATGGTAATATTGTGAATCGGACACTGCACTCTGCACTCTGCACTCTGCACTCGGCACTCGGCACTCGGCACTCGACACTCAGCAAATGCAGGGTTGTTCTTGTACCCGGATTTTCTAAACTTTGTCTCCATTATATTCTCCGATCTTAATCCCCCAACTTCGCGGTGCATTTTATATTAAGAGGTCAATACTCTAAAATCTGAACATAAACTGTCTGAACCTGTCTGGATGGGCGCTTTCGAGGTTTTTTCAGCTCGTTCGTTCATCGTTAGTGAACGGCTCTTTTCGTTCGTTTTTTTAATCGTTAAACAACAATTATTTCGTTTGTTCTTAAAATTTTATTATTCATTTTACATCTATTTTGTTCGTTTTCTCGCTGAACGATTATTTAGTAAAATTGTTCGTTCAATAAAATCGTTATTTTTTTCAAAAAATTTGAAAAATTCGTTCGTTTAGAGATAAAATTTTTTATTCCAAATGATCGTTTGTTTAAAAAACCAACGATAGTTTCTCTGAACGATCGAAAACGTTCGTCCATCGATTGTTTTTTTTTCTCAAGGAAACCATCCTTCACGAAAAATTTGGGTTACCCACATTGATAAAACTTAAGAGATGACTCAAATAATTTGTTCCTTTTCATACTTCCATGTTCTTTGCCTTGCATATGAAAAGAAGTTTCTTTCTTACAAAACAATTTAAAACCATATTATAAGACTAAATGGAAGGTGTAACACAACATTTAACAATCAGATCGTTATATTTAAAGAGTCTAGAGCTGAAAACTTTAAAATGGTGGATATCCTTAATCCTGATCGGTTAATTAATTCGGAGATTAATAACAAGAGGAAAACAAGCGTTATTAAATCTGGAGATTAATAAAGAGAGCGGATCAAGCATTAATCCCAATATTCACCATTCAAAAGTTTTCAGCTCAGGTTTATCTTTCTAGTCTCAGATCATTTGTGATTAAACCTGTTAAATTTGTATATTCAATATCATCAATCCCTTAAAAATACGGTTAAGCAAGCGGCCGCATTTTGCATCATTCATAAAATGAGAAACTCCTGAAAGGATAATTTTGGTGAACAATTATCAAACTTTAGTAAACAAGTGTTCTCTGGAATTACTAAAGGGAATGCAGACTATATCTTAGTTGGAGTTCTATAAAGAGTTACATCTTCGTTTCATAGTAGATTCTTTTAGACATTCAATTTAGTCAATTCTGTACTATTCTAAACTCAAATTTTCACATATTTTCAGCCTGATGGTTTAAACCTTCCATTTCATACGATTTTATACGATTTTTGGATCTCCCCCTCCCCCTCCTATCAATCCTGCGGCTAGGACAGGCTAGGGGGCCGAGCGGTGCGGCTAGGACAGGCTAGGGGTCTGTCCTGGCCGCAGCGCTAGGACAGTGTTACATAGTGTTACATATGAGATCCATGTACAAAATTGATAGGAGGGAGGGGGGGAAGGGGGAGAAGGGGGATCCAAAAATCATTCTCTGGAAATTACCATTTGATCTAACATTGTTCATAGTTAAAGATAACTAAGGTCTACGCTTTGAATTTAAAAAATATAGGGATCTTAACCCTATCCCTGCTGGGGTACTTGAAAACCATGATACGTCCCCCCCAGCAGGAATAGGGTTAAAAAATCTGAATTTTTGTCAAAGGCTAAATTCCTTTATAAGTTTTCATATATTAAAACGACGAAGGGTAACTCTGTAAATCAGCATTTAATGCATTAAAAATGAGTAGTGACTTGAAAATATGTCAAGACTCCCTTAAAAGCTGATGCTGAGGACACCCTCTCTATATTTACCTAGAACAACTGCTAGAAGTGTACACAACCAAACCTCGGGCTCAGATAAAGCGGTCATGTAGCTCATATAGATATCACTAAATATACACATTTTAGATAATATTCACGTAGCTCATATGATATCACTAAATATACACATTTTAGATAATATTCACGTAGCTCATATAGATATCACTAAATATACACATTTTAGATAATATTCACGTAGCTCATATAGATATCACTAAATATACACATTTTAGATAATATTCAAAATAGAGATGTTTAACTTTATCGCACAGAAATTATTTTCTAAAAGTATTTTAACACCATCGAATACAAATACGAAAGTTTCTCAATTCATTTGTGGGAATGATTTGCTGGGTTTCTAATATGATATTAGTAGCTCTTACATTATGAAAGGCCTGGATTTAAGTAATTCCAAGCAAATTAGTCTCAAGACTAAGCTTTGTTTGAGACTAAACTTAGGCTCGATCCTTGAGATATATTGGAAAATGTTTAAAGCGTTCTATCTGGGGATATGAAAATGTTTTAAAGCGTTCTATCTGGGGATATGAAAATGTTTAAAGGGGATGCCAAGGCTGAACTACGTTTAACTAAATATAAGAGGACTGAGCTGAAAACTTAATATTTGGATGTCCTTAATCCTAATCGGTTAATTAATCTAGACATTAATAACAAGAGGAGAACACGCATTATCTAATCTGGAGATTTAAAAAAGAGTGGATCAAGCATTAATCCCAATGTCTACCATTCAAAAGTTCCCAGCTCAGGTAAATTTTCAAGTTGGTCCGGTCCCAAAAGTTGTTGCACAATTTTCGTAACTTTAATACAGTTAGATTCATAAAATGTGGAATAGGAAGACGACTAAAATTATTCATCTAAAATACCTTTAAACATGAAACACAGTTATTATGTGTACACGATTCCGGTTAAAAAAGATTGATTGAAACTATTTGTTTTATAACAATGAATACATTTAAGATTGCTTAAATGTCGTCTTCCTAGTCCACAGTTGTTCCAGTGAAATATTTAGATCGCTGTGTCTGATAAATAATAAGGGTGCACGACCATTTGACACTTTTGTGATTAAACTTCAGCACTATAACACAAAGCTTTAGAAGTTTGTTTTCTTACTTTCATTTTCATTCAGTGCAGTACGTTTTAGTCAAGATTGTTTTACTAGTCCACAAATAATATTTTCTTCTTTGCAATGTATCAGAAAATGTATGTACAAATAATGTAAAAAATCTTTCTTGAAAACTGAATTCAAATATATTGAATTAGCAAAAATCCGTTAAAAAAACTTGGCAGCTTAAGATACCCATCTCGACATTGAAAAATCGAACTCCTTTAACGATCTCTGATTTTTAATACCGCTTCACGCTTTTGTGCTGACCACATTTTTTAATTAAAAAAAAAATATAAGTTGGATGGTTTTAATAAACAATTTTGGCCGCGTGTTGATATTTTTTTGTGTTGTTTAATATTGTTGCAGAAAACAACCTGTTGTCGACCAGGAAGTTGTTCATGGGCCCCACGGTGTAGTAGAACAATGTGAAGGCAAAGTAGGAGAGGATTGAGAGAAGAACGGAGATGATTAAAGGAGCTGTCCAATAATTTGCCTCAAGTAGAACCTTTACAAAAAATCAAACTTAACTAAAAAGGAGATTTCACGTGACTCCATTTAAACATCATTATGATGTCCGATTTACAAGATTTGTTTGGTGAAATAATTTTTAAAATTGATAATTTTCCATAAAATATATCATTTACAAATATCACTGACGCACATTTAAGTTTCAATCAGAAAAGAATCAATAATCAATTTTAGAAAAAGTTGAATTTTATGCAAATCTGACATTTACTAGGACTATATTTCTAAAAAATCTATTAAAATATATAATCAGTCAATCGCAGAATTACAAATTAATATTTAAAGATATAACTTCTGCTAGATTAAACAGAAAATACCTTCAGGGTGCAAGCAAGGTTATTATTGCGATGTCTCTCTTTAAAATATCTATTTATTGCAAGGGATCCTACCTTAAGATTGACAATTATCACAGAGGTTTGTGCCACAACACTTTGGAGATAGAATACATCCTTCTCACAGTATACTGTAAACTCCTAATAGATGGGGGTAACCAATTTTACGCATCATCAATATTGGAATTTAACCACCCACCCACCAGGGGTGTGTAATTAAGACCCTGCCCTATTAAAATATTGCAATAGACAAATTTCCAAATTTTTTTCTGAATATTTACTAAAAAAAATACTATATAGCCAAAACAAATTCTAAAAATTTCATGTTACACCCTTTTTTCTAAAACCATTTAATTTGGTTGTTATATGATCGATTTTCAGTTTTTATAAATGGCTTTAGAAATTAAGATAAATTAGATCTCATTATTTCTGATGTTTTCTTCTTGTATTAAACTTGATCTGTTTAAACTTGTGTCCTGTTCATTGAAAAGAAGACTCCTATTGAATTATATATCATTAGGCGTTTAGGGAACTTTCCTATTAACAATTTTAACTCTATTGCTCTGAAAGTGGCCATTTTTAATCGTTCTCAAATTTTCGCAGATTTTTCTTTTGTACATTTTCACAAAATAATGACTTTTTTCCATGGCTAAATTATTCAACTTGGCCCATAAAACTTCCCTGAGGTCATCTGAGTTGCCATGCAAAAAATTTGCCCGATTGGTTCAGCTTTTTAGGCGTTTATTGAATACAAACAAACAAACCAGACAAGCTGAGGTATATGAGGTTTTGCCATCAACTCTAATGTCTTACACCCGAAGCTGTAGACCTTTGATATTTCAAACCATGAATTCTGTCAGATCAAATAGTCTGAATAAGTAATATTAAAGGTTTACATTATAAGGTTGCGAATTATAAAATTTAAGTGTGAGGCAAAAACTCAGCTCCTTGATGTATAAATAGATTACCTGGTAGAGAAAATACCAAAGAAAGAAGACGACTAGTGAATGCCAGACAGCGTAGCACATCCACCTGATATTAATCAAGATATGTATTTACTCCCAAATGTTTTCAAACTGGATAAATATGTGGAAAGTATAGACTTCTAGAAATCTAAAAACATTTGCTAACTTATTCTGCATGAGCCATACTCTATTCTGCATGTGCACACTCTCAATGGAAAGTTTTCCAAACACAGAACCAATTATAACCTAGAGGTTTCGTTCACGTTTAAAAATACATTTAATTTCCCGTTTTTAGAGTTAAGAAGGCATAAAAGTCTGACAAAATTACTTTGTTACAATATTGACAGGGAACCAGGGTTTTTCGTGGAGAGAAATTGAGTCTTATCCACAAATTCTGGTTTTATAATCAATATCTTTACAACCAAAAAGATTAGATATTTAAACCTATGAATTCTGTTGTGGCAAAGACCCAATTAAATAAATTTGATTATTTTACAAAGAAGTTACCTAAATATTGCGTTTTTTGACATCAGTTTGTTGTATCTAATATCAGAGTAAAGACTAGGATTTCGGAGTAGGGTTGCAGAGGAGTAGTTCTGCTCCGTTACAGAGTAGATCAATACAGGTACTAGAATACAGTGTAGATCAATACAGGTACTAGAATACAGGGTAGATCAATACAGGTACTAGAATACAGGGTATAAGAATAAAGTTTCTAAAGAAAAGTTAAACAAAGTGAACAGGGTGTTTACGAATATATTATCTGAAGCATACAGGGCGTTTAAGAATAAATTATCTTATCTTATCTTATAAAGTATACAGGGTATTTAAGTATCTTAGTATACACTACAGGGTGTTCAAGACGAAAGTACTATGTAGGATACAGAGTGTTTCAGAAAAAAGTACCTGTATGCAAGGTGTTTATGAACAAAGTACTTGAAGCATACAGGGTATTTAAGAATAAAGTACTTGAAGCATACAAGGTATTTAAGAATAAAGTACCTGAAGCATACAGGGTATTTAAGAATAAAGTACTTGAAGCATACATGGGTATTTAATAATAAAGTACCTGAAGCATACAGGTTATTTCAGAATAAAGTACCTATGGTATACAGCTTGTTTAAGAATGAAGTACCTGAACTGGATACAAGGTGTTTAAGAATGAAGTACCAAAAGTATATAGGGTGTTTAAGAATAAATTACCTAAAGTATACAAGGTGTTTAAGAATAAAGTACCTAAAGTATACAGAGTATTTAAGAATAAAGTACCTAAAGTAAACATGGTAATAAAGTACCTGAAGTAAACAGGTTGTTAAGAATAAAGTACCTGAAGTATACAGGGTGTTAAAGCAGAATAAAAATGTGCTCTCGAACAACGTCATGGCGCTGTAATTGGAGTACAACATGTAAAAAACTTGGCCTGTGAACATACAATTATTTCAGGAAAAACAAATCGAGAAAAAAAAAACTGCCCCAACAACAATGTGACATTAATCACCTATTTACACTTAAGAGAATCTTTTATCAAAGTAAGAAAATGAAATCTTTAAATGAGGTAAAAGGGGGAGAACTGCCTCGTTTTTTTCCTCCTCCTGCAGATGTCCAGCCCATTGTTGAAACTGATAATGAATTAGACCAAATTTAATAAATCACATTCTATTAATAGACCATTTTCATTAAAGTGTTTGAAATTTTATCAAAGAATTGTATTCCTGTGAAGCAAGCAATATTCTTGTAGAAGGAATACTGAACTGAAAACACCAAAAATTTTACTTGTTTTTAAACTAAAATAATCCAGCAAAAACTACATGAAATCCCCATAATGAGAAATAATTGATGCTCTCGTTTTCTGGTTAAAAGTTAACATGAAACCGAAATGCATTTTTATCGAATTGAAAAATCGATTCACGTTAATGCTACGAGAAAATGCGTTTTTAGGATATTTAAAGGTTGGATGCATTAAGTCCCCCTCCCCTTGCTTTCACCATCACTCCTTCATCTAAATATTGATAAACCGTCACACATTTTTCAATACATTATGTATTTTTTTCAGAAATGATGCATCGCCAGGAACGAGTGTAAATGATAAATATTTTACTAAAATTTCACATTAAACCCAGGGGAACAGCATTAAACCCAGGGGAACAGCATTTTTAAAGTTTGATCTGCATTTTCAATTTTTAAAGAGACCTTTTTAAAGAGAAAAGTTAGACCTTCATAAAAGTACCTTAACTTTTATCTTTAATGGGACTTTTTGCTGCAATCTAAATATGAAAGGGATTGTCAACCTGATTTCAAATGATCTAATCTTACAGAGTAAATATCATAAAAGATTTAAAGTATTTTAAGCCCGTATCTCAGAAACGACCATGTTAAGTTCTACCCATAAAAGAGCAGAAATTTTGTAATACAGTGATAAACAGAAAATTCTGGAATAGGAAGTCGACTTTTTGACTCAAGTCATGACTTTAAATAGGCCGATGAACATGAGGCCCAGAAATTTTGCAGCGTAACATACCTTTTTCACATATACTAAGTAATTTAATAACTTACAATTGTAAAGCTATTTGCTTTGTAAATACATCAATTATTCTCTAGCATTGCTGTAATGTCGTCTTTCTATTCTACAATTTTCTGGGTATCAATGTATTTTTTACGGATTAAAAGAATCGAAAGTTTTCACTTTGGCAAAGTCCCACGGCGTTGTTTGTAGACAACCACTATTAACCTCGGCTCTTTGATGTTTCTTTATAAAAAATAATGAATCCATTGGTTTCCTAGAAAAGCCGATCTCACGTAGAACCATTGTCCATGAACCAGGATAGATCTGCGTAGATACTTGAACTTGGAGAACGCAAAATCTGATGCCTGCGCAGCTGCCCGACCCTCTTTCCCGATAATTCCAAACCCAACATGGGCCTCCTGACATTAAAGTAAAAAGACAGTGTATTTATTTTATTCAGAAATAATGTTTGAAGCAAGGTTCCTGAATAAGGTTGATTAATCGATCGATGCACTCCAATCTACGGAAAATGTCGTCCCTTGGCATAGGTAGATAGAATACTAATATGACACCACTGATTGCAGAGGACACTCTATATCTATGTTAAGGAGACGACATTTTCCACACATTGGAGCGCATCGAGAGTAACCAACCTTATCAAAAAACCTTGGCTTTAAGTGTACAGTAAATTTTATAATCATGAGGATTAGTCCGTTTTTAAAGCATTGGTTAATCTTTGTTTTTAGAATTTTCTTTTACCTGAAGCATTGAAATATCATTTCCACCATCTCCAATTGCAGCTGTGACATAATTTGAGTCAGCTTCTAAAAATTAAAATCTTTAATTTCCAATTCAGATTTTCAAAATAAAAGGATGAATCAGCTTAACTTACCCTTGACTAAACGAACAATCTGGCTCTTCTGAATGGGTGAAAGCCTGCAGGCAATAACTGTGGAACATTTTAGGCTGACCGCTTGGAATTGTTTGATGCTCTCAGGAGCCTTGAATATGTTTGTGATAGATTTATCATCGACTATCATTGAAGTCTCCTTCTCCTCTTCCACTTCCTCTCCAGCTATTTGAGCCATTAGCGGGGCTATATCACGATAATCGGTTATGTCGCATAAATCGATCAATTTAGAATCCAATTGCAGAATTCCTGAAATCGTACAGGACTAGAACTGATTGTTTTCAGTTAAAACAAAACAAAATTAGTGTAAAGTGCGATTTTCCTTTTAAGCATGATTAAAATAGTCAGGGCATGGCATTTGATATGCTTTATTTATATTTGGTTGGTTTATTTAACGTAACAGGCAAACCCATTAATGGCCGAACATTCAGTTCAGTTAACAACTTGAAAGATTTTCTTTTCTTGTTGCATGAACTGAATGTTCAATTATACTTTCAAAAACCTCCGGTTAATAATTGGAATAATGGAATGTGATTTAGTAATAACATTCTAGTTCTTCCCTGCAGAATGCCCTGCATTGATAGCAGTTTCCTTCTTGTCGCCTGTGAGCATCCATATTCTTACTCCAGCCTTTTTGAGAGCATAAATTGTTTCAGGAACATCGTCTTGCAGTTTATCTTCTATACCTGTAGCACCCAGTAACTCTAGACCTTGCTCTAGTTCCTCATAAACCTCACGGACATACTTTGCCCGGTTCACTATAGAGGTGGAGGCCCCTGCCAAGCTTTCAAGAAAGCTGTTGAGCTGATCTTCATTTATAGTTTTATATCCCACCGCTAGGGTTCGCAGTCCCATGTTTGCAAAACAATCTATTTCTTCACTTGCCTTGTCAATATTACCGGATGTGCAAGCTTTAAACATTTTGCATTCAGCTCCTAGAAAAAAGTAGAATAGAATGTTTTTTTTAAGGAAAATGGTCAATAATAGCCATTAGAATTAAAAAATTAAAACCTTTTGTAAGAACATGAATAATTCCATCGGCATCTCTAACAATCACTGTCATGCATTTCCGAACAGAATCGAAGGGAAGCTCTGCTAGTTTAGCAAAGGAATACAGTTGACCCCTCACATTCACGGCAACCTGACCCTCAAGCTGCTCACCAGTATATACAAACCTAGATGTTATAGGGTTAATCATAAAGAATGAGACGTTAATTTTGAAATATTAAAAGTTATTATTGCAAGCAACCTAATCTTCTAAAAATCAATAAGAGTAAAAAATAATTAATGCAAATATTTGATTAACATATTGCTATATTTTAATTAATATATTTATGGACGGGATAGGTTGATTGAAAGATTATATTTAATAGATACGTAATATATAATCATTTAATATCTTCCTTGGTTCTGATTGGTTGATAAAGTTAAATCCGTCCCACATGTAATAAAACATCAAGGTTAGGTCTTTATACAAAAAAGTTTAAGAAATCTAAAGCTCAGAAATGCTTCCCTCTTCAACTGATATCTTTTAATTGATATTTTATCAGGCGACATACAGACTTCAATCGCACATGCTGGGTTCTCATACACATTAAACTATAAAATACAACGACGACTTTTAGACTAAAGGTATGATTTTAAATATTCAACTGAAAATGGTTTACAATAAACACAATAAAAATTGTTTTAATGTCGTCTTCCAATCCAACAGCTGATTTAGTAACACTATAATTGCAGGGTTTACCTGTTCTCCTGACATTTTTCTAGCAGTGCCTTCTCATCAGGACTAGACGCTATAAAGTTACCATCCGATACTTGAACTTAAACATGAACATATTAGTTTTAAATAGCACTGAACACGTAGAACTAACTACATCCGATACTTGAACTTAAATATAAAAATATTAGTTTTAAATAGCACTGAACACGTAGAACTAACTACAACGAAGTGAATACTGTCTGTATTGAAATATTGGAATATTGGAATATTCTTAACAACAAAAATTATTAAGTCCAAATAAAAGTTTGTTCACTATATGTAATGGTGTTTATCATTATTCATAATTCTTATCTAAAAAATCACCAATATCTCCACAAATATCGATCATTCTTTTTTATGCAGTAAAAGACTGTATTTTTAATATGAAGCCTTAGATAAAAACCATTATGTTATAGATAGTTACATAATTGCTTATATAAGCAGCAAATAAGAACAATATTTTCAACTTTTTAACGTGAATTTAACAAAGGAACTGATAACTCGCTTCAAAACAAACTATTTAATCCTTATATCTTTGCAACCAGATGTTGCAGACCTTTAATATTTACGCCAATATAGGATGGTCAAGACTAGTTATGGGAGATATAGCTTGGTTCATTTTTTAACCACTTTTTAGGTTTTTGGACTTCCAGGAGGTTCCATAAAATCTGTTCTTAAAGTATTTTTAAAAATTACGTATTTTAAACATTTGCTTTTCTTACACTAAACGCTCTGCTAAATTTTTACCTACCCTGAGTGAAAACTTGTGCAAAAAAACGAACCTAAAACAAACGTTTTAGAACGTTTTTGCTTCGTTTTCTCTTAGGATAAAAATATTGAAAACTTTAATAAAAGCAAGCTTTTATAGAATACCATTTTAAAATGTTAGGAGTTCATGTATGTGTGTGGTTCCTTTTAAAGTCTATAAAACTTAAAACGAACCAAGCTATGCCCCATCAATACTACTCAGGGCCCAGGGAACCAAGCTATGCCCCATCAATACTACTCAGGGCCCAGGGAACCAAGCTATGCCCCATCAATACTACTCAGGGCCCAGGGAACCAAGCTATGTCCCATCAATACTACTCAGGGCCCAGGGAACCAAGCTATGTCCCATCAATACTACTCAGGGCCCAGGGAACCAAGCTATGTCCCATCAATACTATTTAGGGCCCAGGGAAATGGGGACTACTTTACATAATTCGTACGTGCCCGGCCCAGAGATCAAGGCTGCTATGAAAGTTGTGCATATATGTTCAAGACATGGTCCACTTTGATGTGTCGCAACCTATGTTATCACTGACATACTAACTCACATATTTCTTGTAGCCCGTAGACAGGTACATAATAAATTGAAACGGAGTAATTGGCAAGAAGGCGGAAAGAATGCGGAGAGAGCATGCACGTTTTGGATTACTGTGATAAAATTACATAGATTAATAACAATACAGATAGACCACTAAATGTCGTCTTTTCAAAAGTTAGGGGTTTTTCGTTCACAATAACCCTGAGACAGAAACCCGAAAGATGTACGGGCATCTCTCTCTCTGCCTTGTAATCCAACGTGGCATACGCGTAACTCCTTTGGGCTTCCGCCTGAGGGTTATTGTGAACGAAAAACCCCTAAATCTTGTAAAGACGACATCTTAATTAATTCACCTGAATGGCAAAGGCAGAGAACCATCATGAACCGGTCCCAGCCCTGGCATCAAAATAGATAATTGATTTTAGGAATATGTTAATTATTTTAGAAGAATTAATAACAAAATAATTGGAACATTCATAAATGAAAATTTATCATTATTCATGTTTTCGCGCAGGGTTGTCCACATTCCACTAAGGATGAAAATGTAAAGACAACCTGAAACTCGTTAAATATACTATCTTTTGTCTTAATATAGTCGTTTAATGGCTTATTTACAGGGACTGTATGATGAGGTTTAAACTGTTCTGATAATTCCTAAATATGTTCATGCAGTAGGAATGCTCAAGTTATTTTGGCGAAAAAACCAGAATTAAAAATAATCATTTTTCAAAATTATAAACATTTATATCTATTTCATACTTGATCAAACAAAACTTTTAAAGGTACCGTTGTGAATCGAGGGCATTGCCATATTTAATTTAGGGAGGATCATTTGAAATTACGAGTATAATCCCTTTAATGATTTTGCAGACAGAGACAAGTTTACAGTTGAAAAGAATCATAAATATAAGGAAACATGCAGTCAGTAACAATTCAGTACATTTGTCCATGGAGTCTAATAGAATTTATCGAAAAAAAACTGATTGAAAACATGATTTCAAAATGACTTTTTTATATTTTATAATCATAAAAAGAGTTAGGTGTTGTGTAGTTTGTGCTGTGTACAAACTTGGATTGTTTTTTTACATGAAATAAAAAGGCGTTAACCACCTGTCCCAATCTCTATTTTTTTAATCCTTATATCTTTGCAACCTGATTTTGTAGATCTTTAACATAAAAAACACTGAATTCTGCAGGACAATATAATTGAAATTTAAAATATCAAAGGTTTACACCATCACTCATCAGGTTGCAGAGAGAGAGTTTAACACAATAAGAATATAACTTAAGAATATTGGTTTAGATCAGTCTAAAATTATATTGGAAATAAATTTTTACCTGCGGGAAATCTGAATCTAGAAGGAAAGTTTCCTCTCCTCTCAGTATCATCTTTAAAACCATCTCATTCTTAGTTATTGTTCCTGAACACGTTGATAGATGTATTCAGTATACATTCTGAACACGTTGATAGATGTATCTATTATACATCCTGAACACATTGATAGATGTATCTATTATACATCCTGAACACGTTGATAGATGTATTTATTATACACGTTGATAGATGTATCTATTTTACATCCTGAACACGTTGATAGATTTATTTATCATACATCCTGAACACATTGATAGATGTATCTATTATACATCCTGAAAACATTGATAGATGTAAATATTATATATCCTGAACACGTTGATAGATGTTTATATTATACATCCTGAACACGTTGATAGATGTATTTATTATACATCCTGAACACGTTGATAGATGTATTTATTATTCATCCTGAACACGTTGATAGATGTATCTATTATACATCCTGAAAACATTGATAGATGTATCTATTGTACATCCTGAACACGTTAATAGATGTATCTATTATACATCCTGAATACGTTAATAGATGTATTTATTATACATCCTGAACACGTTGATAGATGCATCTATTACTCGTACACAACAGTTGAAAACCTTTGCGTACAACTTATATAGTACACATCAATACACCCTTTTAGGTAAATAAACAGTTAAAATATAACTTACGTCTTTTTATTCCACAATTTTATGAGTCTCACACAAAATAGTTGTTTGTAAGAAGAAATAAATGCTTTTCTGTTTTCACAAAAATATGATCGTTTCGAGCAAATTAAAAATATTTATTCATGTTTAGATGCTGGATAAAATTACATTTTGGAAAATTCATCTCACGAAAAAGAAACGGAATACTGAAAATCTTTATACTTCTCCCTTTGAAACCTGGATTGATGGTGACTGATATTTTAAACTTTAGCTTTATTACTTAGTTACAATTCCAAGTTTGTAATATAAAAGGTTTATGACATCAGGCTCAGAGGATGTTAAAAACAGAGTAAACAGAGTAATCAGTTTCTTAATCTTAACAATGTTAAATGTGTTAAACCCGAACCTGTTTTATCTGTTAGGAGATGAGTAATAAGTCCCAGCTCGTCGTTTATATCAGATGTATGGCACTGAGCTGGTTCATTAGTTTCAACATCATAAAGCTCTGAATAGATAAGTATTTCATTTTAGTACGAAGGGGGTGGGGGAAGGGGTGGGGCATTATTTTGAAGCTAAACGGAAAAATAAAAATGGGATTTTAGGAGGAATACTAAATAAAATTTCTACAATCGTTAATTTATCTTCTTTTTATTCTAAAATTTTATAATATGTAAACTTGTTTGGACCCCCCAAAAAAATTATGTCAGGAAGGGTCTTAAGATCTGATGAAAAAAAAATTGGAAATTCATCAATCAAAACGAGTAAATCCGCGAAAGGAATTGAGTCTTTGTCACAAACTCAAAACCTCTACTACCTATATCTTTGCAATCCAATTATTTAAACCTTTAATATTTCAAACTATTATTATTTGATCTGACACAATCAATAGTTTGAAATATCAAAGGTTTACGACATTGGGTTGCAAAGATAAAGGGATTAGAATATCAGAGTTTTGTAGCAAAGACTCCAATCCTTTGTTAGATTTTAGATGGACGCAGAAAGATGGTGCCATGGGAAGCACCATCTAAAAGCTAAAAGGTGCGTGAAGCCCCCAAAATTGTAAAATATATTTATATAATGACCTGTGTCCCAAGTGTATTGTAGACTGGAGAGAACTTTAATAAACTCCAATGAAACGTAAACAGATAATGGAATAATATAATTGTATAAAACCATCCACAACAACAACACTTCGAGTATCAAAACAAAATTAATGTCTTCAACCTAGAAATAAAAACAATAATGAAAAATAATTTTATAAATTTCTTTTTCATTCATTTTGTTGATATAGGAAACACATATTTTTTTGATTTTTTTTTCTTTGATTGAGAGTGAACAGCTGTTAAAAGTGACTTTATAAGGGACTAATGACATGAACAGCTGTTAAAATAACTATATAAGGGACTAGTGACATGAACAGCTGTTAAAGTAACTATATAAGGGACTAATGACATGAACAAGCTGTTAAAGTAACTATATAAGGGACTAATGACATGAGCAGCTGTTAAAGTAACTATATAAGGGACTAATGACATGAACAGCTGTTAAAAGTGACTTTATAAGGGACTAATGACATGAACAGCTGTTAAAAGTTACTTTATAAGGGACTAATGACATGAACAGCTGTTAAAGTAACTATATAAGGGACTAATGACATGAACAGCTGTTAAAGTAACTATATAAGGGACTAATGACATACTTTTCAAAGTGACCCTCAACTGAAAGCCTTACGTGCTCCATGAACAATAACACCCCCCCAGTCTATTTTCAAATAGAACACGGATAACTCCGTCCTTATGCTTTTTCTAGAAAAGCAAGAATAAAAATTCGGAAAACAAAGAGAACTCGAAGTATAAATTTCAAAGGTCTCACCGTCTGACCTAGATACCAGGCTGTAGGGTTCTAGATATAGTACAGCGATAACCAGAAAACTATGGAATAGTAAGACGAATTTGAGAATCAAGTTTAAACTTTAAAAAGTTCAAAAACCATGAAACACTACAATTGTGAAGTGTAAACAGACCCCTTTCACAGAAAAAGTGATTTTATAAGTGTCTGGTAAAACTATTTGCTTTGTAACACCATCAAATACACTTAGTATTGCTATAATATTGTATTCCTATTCCAAAGTTTTCTGGTTCTCACTGTATATACCTGGTCTAGATACCAGGCTGTAGGGTGCTGGATATAGTATATACCTGGTCTAGATACATGCAGGCTGCAGGGTTCTCGATATAGTATATACCTGGTCTAGATACCAGGCTGTAGGGTGCTGGATATAGTATATACCTGGTCTAGATACCAGACTGTAGGGTGCTGGATATAGTATATACCTGTTCAAGATACCAGACTGTAGGGTGCTGGATATAGTATGTATCTGGATAGTTTTTAATAGCCTGAAATCCAAGCAGTTTCGTAAGACTTTCACGATACTCTGGTCTAAATAAAAACGAATAAAAAAGCTGATCACTTATTTCAAAATCGACTTATTTAATTCTTATTTTTTTGGCTATTTTGTATGTCCTATCCTTTTATATTTCAAACTTTCATAAAACAAACTATAAATTCTCTTAAATAAAATAGGCTAAGTTTAAAATATCGATGGTATAAACCATCAGGTTGCAAAAATTATCAAATTATCATGAACAATTTATTTATTAATTTACATTTTTTGTCTAAAACATGTTACACCTTTTGTTCTTTTGCTCAACATTTTTTAATGTTTATGTATTTGATATTCATGTTTATTGTTTGATACAATTGCTAGAAATTTTCTTTCTTTTTTCTAAATTTGTGTTTTCAGAAGAAATAATTTCTTTTTTTTTGATCTTGTGTTTTTACCTTTGTATATTGGTCATATTAAGATAAGTATCCTTGTCTTGTTTTTACCTTTGTATATTGGTCATATTAAGATAAGTATCCTTGTCTGCACCAAAAAAGCGGAGGATTTTGGCAACAGAAGAGAAGTAGAGTTGAGGGCTCTAAAATATTGTTATTAATGTTATTATTATTGTTATTAATTTTATTATTGCTCTGGATTATTCTTATTTTGGCAAAAAAAAAGAGAAGGAGAGTGGAGGGCTCTGGAATATTGTAATTAATGTTATTATTATTGTTATTAATTTTATTATTGCTCTGGAACATTCTTATTCTTATTATTATTAATTATCTTATTATAATTATTATTTTACCCTTGTCAGTTCATAGTTGTATGAGAATGAAAGAATAGTTGAAATCACCATCTCGCTGACTAAAACACTCACAAGGAAGACAAGATATCTAAAAATATACTTATTATTCGATATTTTATGCAATTTTGTAAATTACTTATTTTATTGATAAATCAGAATCTAAATTCTAAAATATTTTTAAAACTATCTTGATGACAAATGATCGAAAAAAATATTTTTCCATGAATGGCAGTCTATTATTCCATAATTAAATCAATTATTCCATAATTGAATTAATTATTCCATAATTAAATCAAATATTCCATAACTAAATTGATTATTTCATAAATAAATAAATTATTTAATAAATAAATAAATTTTTCCATAGTTAAATCAAGGATTTAATAAATAAATAAACTATTCCAAAGTAAAACCAAGAATTTGATAAAAAAAAAAAATTATTCCAAAGTAAAACCAACCTACTAACTAACCTGTTTAACGATTTCTCGGTAGTAGAGAATTTGTTACTTGTAATTTTTGAATTCAAACTACAGAAGAAAAAAATCACAATTCAATCAAAAAAAAGGAAAACTTAAAAACATAATCCTGATTTTTTCTTTTTAGTTCTACATTGCAATGTTCTAGGTGTTCTAAAATTTAAAAATAAAACAAAAAATGATTAAAATGTTTTTTTCTTTTTTCCTAATCTTTGTTTGGATTCCAGAGTAAATACAACAGGTGAACACTTCTTCTGTGTTCTTCAGTACACTTCCAGCCAACAGAACATTATCATTACTAGAGTACATTATTGTTAAAAAAATACATAATAATTACTAAAGTACATTAATTACTAAAGTACATAATTATTACTAGAGTAAATATCATTACTAAAGTAAATTATTATTATACTAAAGTATATATTATCATTACTAAAGTGAATTATTATTATTACTAAAGTACATTATCATTACTAAACTACATTATCTGAAGTACATTATCAGTTCTAAAGTACATTATCATTACTTAAGTACATTATTACTACTCAAGTACATTATCAGTTCTAAGGTACATTATCATTACTTAAGTACATTATCACTCCTTAAGTACATTATCATTACTAAAGTACATTATCATTACAAAAGTACATTATCACTACTCAAGTACATTATCATTACTCAAGTACATTATTAGTACTTAAGTGCATTATCATTACTAAAGTACATTATCATTAATAAAGTACATTATCATTTCTAAAGTACATTATCATAAACTAAAGTAATATATGAGCGCCATAGACAAATTTCAGTAATTAATTAAAGTTCTTCCAATCAATATTTTCGTACAATTTTCAATATTAATGGGACCATCGTTGTATTTTTAAGCGACTCTCCTTTTAAAAAGAGGTATATCAGATTCCCAACCACAATTTTAAAAAATGTATTTTTAGAAAGGAAAACGTCTAATATCTTATTCATCCTTGATCAAACAAGTCTTCTCAGGGCCGGTACCAGATTGCTACTTTTTAAATTTAGGATTACTCGGAATTACATCCATATAGTCCCTTTAAATTTAGGATTACTTGGAATTACATCCATATAGTCCCTTTAAATTTAGGATTACTCGGAATTACATCCATATAGTCCCTTTAAATCTAGGATTACTCGGAATTACGTCTATATTGTCCCTTTTAATTTAGGATTACTCGGAATTACATCCATATAGTCCCTTTAAATTTAGGATTACTCGGAATTGCGTCTATATTGTCCCTTTTAATTTAGGATTACTTGGAATTACATCCATATAGTCCCTTTAAATTTAGGATAACTCGGAATTACGTCTATATAGTCCCTTTAAATTTAGGATAACTCGGAATTACGTCTATATAGTCCCTTTAAATTAGGATTTATTTACGCCGCAATCTTAGCTTTATAACAGGATGAATGACGTGCTAGCTCTTTCTCATCAGAATAATTAATCTCAAAGAAGAGACTAAAAATAGCTTTATTAGAGAATATTTTGCCAACATATTTCTTGTTAACCAAAGCTGGTGTAAACAAAATTTGAATATAATTATATAATCATTAGTCGCATATCATCAATTAACAATTCTTGGTCCAATCCTTAATCGTTGCAACCTAATGTCTAAGAAGACATATGATATTTCAAACTATGAATTCTGCTAGATCAACAAGAAGTGAGGGTTTGAAAAATCACAGTAAAATGCCATCAGGTTGCAACAGATTTAAGGATTAGAACACTGCAAACCAAGATGTGCACACTTTCACGCAAAAATTGAGCAGTATTTGAAACTTAAGCTAGAAACAAGCGCGTTGTAATTTTAAAATATATATGTCTAGGTCTGCAAAAAAATGCATACGTGAGTTGGTGAGGTAAACTATAGCCCAAAGCGTTGCAACCCTTAAAGTCGAGTTTTAGAGATGTCTCTATCTCAGGGAGAGTTTGCGGCGATTATTAAGTTCCTTAACTCAGCAGGTAAAAGGTAAAAGGTAAAATAATAACAAACCTAAGAACATGAACCGTTGGTTCTGAATTCTCTTCACAGTTCCACAGAGTGAGATTACCCAGGAACGTATCCAGTTTAGGATTCGGATTCTCACCTACACAAACGGGAGTGTTCATGAAAAATGAAAGGGGGTATAGGCTTACGGCCGGCGATAAATAATCGATTTTGATCGCTACTAATCTTACTTCTATCTGTTGCGTCTATAAAGAGAAAATTGTTAAAAACGACGTATACCAAAGAACTTAGTGTCCCTAAATTGAAAAAGTTGCAACACACGACTAGGATCGTAGAAAAATCAATTTAATATCAAACAAATCATTGAAATATAAAAATCTTTCGACATCGATTATTTTCGACGCATTCGAATATAGTTAATGTTTCATAATATTTGTTATTGGTTTATATGCTATGCACTTAAAACGACGTTTTTCCGCTAGGTGTCTCTGCAACGTGAAATCATTCAAAGCATCGAGAGCAGAGACACCTGGCGGCCAACTATTTCGGCGTTTTAAGTGCAAAACAAATAAAAAATATTATGAAATATTAACTATATAGAAATGCGTCGAAAAATAATCGATGACTGTAGGTTGTAATATCTGAATGATTTGTTTGAAGTTTAATGGATTTTTTTTACGATCCGAGTCGTATGTTGCAACTTTCTCAATTTGTATGAACGTTACGTTCTTCAGTATAAGTCGTTTTTAACATTTTTCTCCTTACAGACGCAACAGATAGTAAGATTAGTAGCGATCAAAAGCACTTATTTTTCGCCGTAAGCCCTTTCATTTTTCGCGAACACTCCCTTTAAAGAGACAGTTAACTTAATTTCGAATGAGTCTCCATGTAAAGAGTTAAATTCTCGATTCACAACTGCACGTTTTAAACCTTTATCTGAGTAACATTGGAGAGGACTTTTCCCTCTTCAAGTTACTTTATTTGAAAAATATCAAGTTTATGAAGAAATCATTTGATCTCAGATAATGGATTTAAAGAGTGTTCTTGAGAATTGGAGTTTGTTGAGAGTGTTAACTTTCAATTACCTAAATGTTTTTGTATTCCCCTTTCTTATAAAGATATTTATTTTATTCAATTTGGAGGTAATTTATCAAATCTAATTTTTCCCGTTGTTAGGTGATCATATTTTGAAAACAAAAATGTGCGTTTTTGTAATGGGTATCATGCGGGTGAAATTTTATTTGCTGGGATTTTTTTCTAGTTTGTTTAAGACCAAAATGATAGTGTTTTCACACTGAACGTAAAAAAGGTGTGAAAATAATTCAATTTTGATCAATTTTTTTGGTTTGCACTTAACAATACCTTTTACAAGAACATTAATAGATATACTATTAAAGGATAACTGTAAAGTAAAATATAGATTATTGATTAAAAGGAAAGTATGTGTTGGGAAAATTACTTAATTCAAGAACGAGGGATATTTTTTTATACTGATAATTCTTAACATCAAACGTTTTTTGATTTTTCTTAAAAATCAAATTTTCTGTACTTTTTCTACTTACATTCAATACAACCGTGAAGGGTGGAGATCTCTCTCACAGATTTAGCACCTCTCGTTATACCAGGAGAAAACCTAAATATTTATATCTCGTCATATCAGGAGAAAACCTGAATATTTAGTATCTCTTGGTATACCAGGAGAAAACCTGAATATTTAGCATATCTCGTCATACCAGGAGAAAACCTGAATATTTAGCATATCTCGTTATACCAGGAGGAAACCTGAATATTAAGTATCTCTCGTTATACCAGGAAAAACCTGAATATTTAGCATATCTCGTTTTACCAGGAGAAAACCTAAATATTTATATCTCGTCATATCAGGAGAAACCCTGAATATTTAGTATCTATTGGTATACCAGGAGAAAACCTGAATATTTAGCATATCTCGTCATACCAGGAGAAAACCTGAATATTTAGTACCTCTTGTTATACCAGGAGAAACCCTGAATATTTAGTATCTCTCTTTATACCAGAAGAAAACCTGAATATTTAATATCTCTCGTTATACCAGGGAAAACCTGAATATTTAGTATCTCTCTTTTTACCAGGAGAAAACCTGAATATTTAATATCTCTCTTTATACCAGGAGAAAACCTGAATATTTAGTATCTCTCGTTATACCAGGAGAAAACCTGAATATTTAGTATATCTCGTTATACCAGAAGAAAACCTGAATATTTAATATCTCTCGTCATACCAGGAGAAAACCTGAATATTTAGTATATCTCGTTATACCAGGAGAAAACCTGAATATTTAGTACCTATCGTTAAACCAGGAGAAAACCTGCATATTTAGTATCTCTCGTAATACCAGGAGAAAACCTGCATATTTAGTATCTCTCGTTATACACGGAGAAAACCTGCATATTTAGTATCTCTCGTTATACCAGGAGAAAACATGAATATTTAGTACCTCTCGTTATTCCAGGAGAAAACCTGCATATTTAGTATCTCTCGGAATACCAGGAGAAAACCTGCATATTTAGTATCCCTCGTTATACCAGGAGAAAACATGAATATTTAGTATCGTTATACTAAAAGGTGTACATGAAAACATGAATATTTAGTATCGTTATACTAAAAGGTGTACATGAAAACATGAATATTTAGTATCGTTATACTAAAAGGTGTACATGAAAAGGTGTACATGAAAAAAGGTTCCCACTTATATTTTGAATTCTTGAACTTCTCAATATTGGCAATAAAATCTTGTGAATTCATATTTACCTAATATTAGTCATAACAAAACTAGTCCATGCAACAAAAAAATCGGATTTGGAAATGATTTAGTAGTTTTCTTTGGACATCTGCGACCCGGCATTGTAAATTGCAGCTGCCATTTAGCTGGACACTAGACACATAGACTCTATCAACCTTCTAAACTCTACAAAGGTTCTTATTTGCGTCAATCTACTTCTTCTTTTTAATTAATGATGTTTCTCTTCAGGGTTGGCAGGGCAGGGATTATTTTTATCTTAATCTTTTTATCTTTTTTATAACATCAGCTATTCACTCTGCTTGATTTTAAGGTTTTAGTCACTATTGAAACTATTGAAGATTTGAAGATACTTAGCAGAGCTTATTACCCTATTTTCGCTGTGAACATCTAAAAGATTTTAAGTTTCGTATTTATGATAATGATGTTTGCCTTGCCTCCTTCAAATATTTTTATCACTTAATTTGGACACATGATCATATGAGGAAATCTTTCTTGATTTGTTAGTATTTTTTCTTGGATTGGGGCCTGAAATATCTGAAATAAGCTTCCTTCCACTCCCTTCTAAAGGCTTAGACAAATAGCACCATAACTTAATACTTAATCTTTTGGCGAATATATACTATATGTTCCTATAGACTAAAGTAAGATAATATTAACGCTTTTAAAACACTGTTCAAGATCTCAAACAACCTGGCAATCAGTATTCGGATTGAAAAAGTTTTTGATACTTTCAGCATGCTGGCAAATGGAAACTTCTGAAAGAAGTCACCTCTTGGACTTTTTAAGTCACTTTTTAATACAGAATCCATCTTTCTCGATGCAAACATCTTCCTTATGTGCCAGTGCATGTCTATGATGAAGAAAAATATTCGTAGATTTACATAAAGAGAAGAAATGGAAGGTGGGAACCTTTTTTATGTACACCCTTTAGTTGATTATTAAAATATGTACGACGTGCTTGTCAAAAAGTAAAAGTCCATAATTTGTTTAAATATTATACTCCAATTGCAACATTCAATATACAATATGGCGTAATTGCGTCTATTTTATATTCTTCTTCAATAAGTTTTAAAAAAGTTAACTTATGTATTACTTGTTCATGTTTACTGTTTAGGTCTTTAGTTCTAAGTTATTTCCTTCTATCTTACAATAGTTACTTTGTTAAATTTTATAGGAGAGTAATTCTTCTTTGCGTCTTCTTCTAAGTAAGGAACAGAATTTAAGTAATTTCTCAAAAAAAAATATTACCCAATTACACTATTAATAATTTCGAACAAATTTCGAACAATTTCGAACAAATTTCGAACAAACGCACAATTTCGAACAAATTTCAAAAATCTTCGAACAAATTTCTCACAGCATGTTTGTAATTACGGTGGACATTAAATAAAAATAATATGTACAATGTACATTATAATCTTTAGATTTCGAGGATTAGAAGAAAATCAGCAATTTTCTAACTCACCAGTGATACACAACCTCCTTCATCAGCGTTTAAATTATGCTCTAGACACTTTTTCTTTTAGGTTAATACCATATTAAGTATAAAAAAGCTGCTTTAATTACCTTGTTTTCAGGCTGGTTTCTCCATCTAGGTTCGAAGTTTCTATAAAACACTGACCCTAAATATGATTTTCATTAATATAAGGAATAATAATATTAAATACATAAGAAATAAATGTATGATTTTTTTCGTAATTCTGAAAATTCTCCATTTAAAATCTGGATGGGATAATTAAAATTTTAAAGATGAATGTAAACAGAGAAGCTTTCCACCTGAAACATATCAAAGGAAAAACTAAGATTTATTACAAAAAAGTGAATGCATTTAAACTTACATTTTTATGTGAGCTACTCAACAACACAACGTCACAAGGCACAGTTTCATGTTCATGTAGTACCAGTATATCTCCAACCTATAACATACAGTTTCATGTTCATGTTGTACCAGTATATCTCCCACCTATAACATACAGTTTCATGTTCATGTAGTACCAGTATATCTCCAACCTATAACATACAGTTTCATGTTCATGTAGTACCAGTATATCTCCCACCTATAACATACAGTTTTATGTTCATGTAGTACCATATCCCTATAGAACATACAGTTTCATGTTCATGAATACCAGTATATCCCTTTAGAACATACAATCCATAAGTGAGTTTTTGCCACAAACTCAAATGTTTTAATCCCCTTATCTGATGGTGTAAACATTTGATTTTTCAAACTTAGAATATTTGATTAAACAGTATTCATGGTTTGAAATATCAAAGGTCTACTACATCAGGTTACATAGATATAAGGATTAGAAAATCAGAGATTATTACGAAAACTCAGTTCCTTTATCCGAAAACGGTTTGATATTTTTTTCTTCATTATAACCTTACGTATGATATAACACTCTGGTTTTAATGTTTCTATTCAAATATCCGATACAGAGATAAGCCTTGCTTGCTTGCTTAGACTGCCTTATTTATATATATTTATATATCAAACATGTTGTCAGGCAACAAACAAACAAACAGGCAATCTGACACACAGTTTAACGGAAAACTGTTTGGCAGACTTGAATACAGCTATACTGTGGGACCCATAAAACTCTGAAATAGGAAGAAAACTGTTTGATAGACTTGAAAACAGCTACAAATGGACCCATACAACTCTGGAATAGGAAGAAACAGTTTAGAAGACTTGAATCCTCCTAAAGTGGGACCCATAAAACTCTGGAATAGGAAAAAAATTGTTTAAAGGACTTGAATACAGCTACAGTGGGACCCATATAACTATGGAATAGGAAGAAAACTGTTTGGTAGACTTGAATACAGTTACAGTGGGACCCATAAAACTTTGGAATAGGAAAAAAACTGTTTAGAAGACTTGAATATAGCTACAGTGGGACCCATATAACTCTGGAATAGGAAGAAAACTGTTTGGTAGACTTGAATACAGATACAGTGGGACCCATAAAACTCTGGAATAAGAAGAAAACTGTTTAGAAGACTTGAATACAGCTACAGTGGGACCTATCTGGACAATTGATAACGATTGTGTAGTGCACAGTGCATAGAGGCCCTTTTCACATAATAAGTTTATTTAAAAGCTATAAAAACGATTGGCTTTGTAACAACATTACATAAACATAAGATTGCTTAAAAGAATTTTAGAATTCTCAAATACCCGGCATACTACCTTGATCCTGCGGCTGATCAGTATTTCTGAGGAATATACCATTGATCCTTTGGTGCCCAGACATTTACCGTTTTTTGTATCAGTGATTGCTGGGTACAGGTGACATAGGTACACAGATCAAATTTAGAATTTCGGCTCTGTACTTGTACAAGGTTAAAAACATAGTAGTTTCCTACCATGATCTGTTCACTATGAACTACAGCCTTCTTCCCCTTCTTAATAATATGAACTGGTCTCTTGTTTATCCTCGCGTCTTCTTTATGCCTAAATGGTTTTTTTGTTTGAAATATACGTATGAACAGATTTAAGGTAAACTTTTATGGAATTATTTGTAGTTTAGAAACGTTTATTGGAATTATATGTACAGTAGATTAAAGATCAACGTGTATTTGAATTATATGTACAGCATGATTAAAGATCAACGTGTATTGGAATTATATGTACAGTAGATTAAAGATCAACGTGTATTGGAATTATATGTACAGTATATTAAAGATCAACGTGTATTTGAATTACATGTACAGTAGATTAAAGATCAAGGTGTATTGGAATTATATGTACAGTAGATTAAAGATCAACGTGTATTGGAATTATATGCACAGTAGATTAAAGATCAACGTGTATTGGAATTGTATGTACAGTAGATTAAAGATCAACGTGTATTGGAATCATATGTACAGTAGATTAAAGATCAATGTGAATTGGAATTATATTTACAGTAGATTAAAGATCAACGTGTATTGGAATTATATGTACAGTTATTAAAGATCAAGGTGTATTGGAGTTATATGTACAGTAGATTAAAGATCAACGTGTATTGGAATTATATTTACAGTAGATAAAAGATCAACGTGTATTGGAATTATATGTACAATAGATTAAAGATCAAGGTGTATTTGAATTATATGTACAGTAGATTAAAGACCAACTTGTATTGGAATTATATGTAAAGAAAAACTTTTGTTGGATATTTCATTTTTGCATCATGCCATGAAACAATTTTATAAAGGTTAAACGAAACAACAAAATATTTAATTCAATAAATCTTTAATTTTATCAATAGTTTTCTCGAAATTCCTTAAAACTTCATAAAATATTTCTATATTTTTAAAACTGAGCAAATGCAGTCCATAAATTATTAAACCACTTGCTTTCATTGCTTCAAATTATTAAATTTTAAATCAGCCCAGCTTCTATTTGATATTTCTAATGCACGAATTAAAGAGAAACTACAAAACCATCAACAATATTTTTACTTTACTTAAATCATAATTAAACATGATACGGTGTATAATGTTAAATGCATACTCCTATATTAAATGCTTGACTATTTGATCTAGCAGATTAATTGTTTAAATATCAAAGGATACCACATCATGCAAAACTAACAGGAATAAAAAATTTAGAATGTGAGGCGAATAATCAGTGCCTCTTACAGAAAATGCATTGCATACATTGCATGTAGTTTTGAATAATTACTAAGCACAAGTTTAAGTCTATAATCTTCTTCAAATAATTAACAAATAAAATTCTGAAAAGGAATTGAGTCTTTGCAACAAACTCAAATTTTCTAACTTTTATAGTTTTGCAGTCTGATGTAGTGAACCTTTAATATTTCAAACTTTGATTAATTCAGAATTCTATAGTTTGAAATCAAAGGTCTACGACAATGGGTTGCAAAGATAAAGGGATTAGAAAATCAGGGTTAGTGGCAAAAATCAGTTCCTTGGAAAAAAAGTAATAACCTTTTTGTAACATAGTTTTGATAAAAAGAGGTATGGAATAAGCACCTGAATAATGTTAAAAATATAAAGGAACTGAGTTTTTGTCACAAACCCAAACTATCTAATCCCATATATCTTTCCAACCTGATGGTGTAAACCTTTGATATTACAAACTCTAGTCTTTAGACATTGGAATGAAAAGATATGGGGATTAGAAAATTAAAAAATTCTGTAAATTGAACCTGAGATAGTCTTCGTAAGCTTGTTTGATCATAGTGACGATAATAACGAAGACGAGGGACATCATCCAGGTGTACGGGGAGATGGGGGAGTCTATCAGGAGGGTTAGCACCATAGACACCTGGGAAACAGTGAAATGATAAAGGGAAGGTTCAATGATTTAAAAATAAACTGAAATAATTTTATCGTTAAAAGTAAACTGAGGATGATTAATATTGGAATTAAGCCAACCGTCCATCCGAGGTTTGCTGCAATTTCCCTTAATAACAATATTGCAATAAAAATAATTTCAAAATCGTCCATACTCCATACGGTTGCGAATTGACAGTATAATAACGGAGAAATCACCGTAAGGCCCCCCAAAAAATATTTTTAAAAGTTTTATGTTTTACATAATTTTCTTGGAAATTTTATGTTAAATTAAAATCTGATAGGCGCTTTTAAAAATATTAAAAATTAAAGTAGTTATAGCCAAATAAAGGTCCAAAAGTCTTTATTTTTACTTTTTAAAGTGTCTGGTGAGTTTTCTATTTCTAACTTATTCAATTTTCATTTTTTTAAAGCGCTTTTCATATTTGAATTCAGCATAAAATATACAAGAAAATTATGTAACTAAATATTTTTTTTTGTCCTTACGATGATTTGAAAATTTCAAAATTGTTCATTCGGTTTTGAAATTTTTTTATTGCAATATTTCTATCAAGTGAAAACGCAACAACCTCTGGTAGCCGTGGGCGGTCAGCTGATTTCTGAAAAAAGTCACAAATCAATCATTCTTACTGTAAACGTAACCTCATGTTACTCTTTATTAGGGCTGGGCAAGTTAAAGACTTTTTTCAAGTCATTCGTTAGCGGTATAGTTAAAATAGTAAAAAAAAAACCTTTCAGGTTGCAGTTCCTTTTTAAATATAGATTGACATGTCCGATTCACAACCGTAATCTTAATGATCAAGAAGGAATGAAGTATTGATTTCTTTTCTTTTAATGTTTATCTTCAGTTGGGGGTTTTCTATTAAAGTGACTGGCGGATTTCTTGTTTCAAAAACAATAGAGAATTGAACACTATTCAAGATAGAAAAGTGACGATATCTTCCTCATTTTTGATTCGATAAAGTTAATTTCTAAGGGTACCTTTGTGAATCAGGCATGTCCCTATTTTAAAAAGGCGTCACTTAAAATGAAAACGACAATATAAATGAAAATATCGCAATGTAGATACATCGACATTATAGATATGTTTTCCCGTTCCAATTTTAATTTAATTTTGATTTTTTAAAGAAAGTTTTGATTTTTGAATTACATAATGTCAAGTTGTTTCCTTTAAATACTAAAAGCTCTAATTTTCTTATCCTTATATATATTTGTAACCTGATGGTGTAAACCTTTGTTATTTAAAACGTATGCTATAACAGAATTCGTAGATTGAAATATCAAAGGTCCAGGGTTTAGAAAATCCGAGTTTGTGGCAAAAATTCAGTTCCTTTCAAGATTTCCAAATGAAAAGGAAAGTTTTCTTCAGAAAATGTTAATTTATTTATATTTTATATATTGTTGAGTAATAACCAGAAAACAATGGAATAGGATGACGACATTATAACAATATTTAAGTGTAATCGTTGTTGTTACAAAGCAAATAGTTTTACTAGACACTTAATAAATCACTAATTTAGGGAAATAGGTCTGCTTACACTGCATACTTGCTGTGTCCATGCTCATTGAAATTTTTACAGTTTTAACTTGATTCTAAAAGTCGTCTTTCTATTTCAGAGTTTTCTGGTTATCACTGTATATTTATCATATTTATTCAGAATGTTTGCTACATTTTATTTTTGGATATTTGGCAAAATTTTGTCAAGTATAATGTTCAAAAATTTAAATATTAGGAAATAAAGGAAATAAGTATTTAAACGTAGCGGTGTCTGGCATAGGTAAACTGTTAAAGCAAAAAAAAGAAAAGTGTCGAATTACAAAAAGAAAAATTGTATAGTTGGTAAAAGTGTAAAAAAAAACTTATATATTAAAACATTATTTATGACAATGAAGAATAAAAAGTATTTGTAAAAATGCGTCACAGTTTGCAGTTTGTCGTCGACAAACAGTTTTCAAGGACTCTCTAGACAATATCATAACATTGAAGAGTTGTAAATGGTTTAGCCTCGCTAGAATTAGCTTAAACTAGCTAGAATTAGCTTAACCTAGCTAGAGTTAGCTTAAACTAGCTAGAATTAGCTTAAAATAGCAAGAATTAGCTTAAATTAGTTAGAATTAGTTTTAACTAGCTAGAATTAGCTTAAACTAGCTAGAATTAGCTAAAACTGGCTCAAATTAGCTCAAACCAGCTTAACTTAGCTTAAAATAGCTTAACTTGGCTTAAAATAGCTAGAATTAGCTTTTACTTGCTAGAATTAGCTTAAAATAGCTTAATTTGGCTTAAACTATACTTAGATTGGCTTAAAATAGCTTGAATTAGCTTTCAATAGCTTCACTTGGCTGAAAATAGCTTGAATTAGCTTACAATAGCTTAACTTGGCTCAAACTATACTTAAATTTTCTCAAAATAGCTTGAATTAGCTTAAAATAGCTGTACTTGGCTTAAACTAGCTTAACATGGCTTTAAAAAGCTTAACTTGGCTTAAACTAGCTAGAATTAGTTTAAACTAGCTTATTTGTGCTTAAACTATAGCTAGAATTAGCTTTTACTATGTTAAATTAGGTCAAATTAGCTCAAACTAACTTAACTTAACCTAACTAGGCTTAAAATAGCATAGCTTAACTTGGCTTCGAGCGACCAACTATATTATAGAATATTCATAACAATAATCTTAAAACCTTTATCTGAACAAGGATGACGAAGATATCCTTGTTTTCTAGCTTACCAGAAAGTAGAAGTTAGCTCCTCTTCTGAACTGCTCTAAAAGATTAAGAACAGGGAAGCTGAGAATAGTATACTTGGCAGACTTAAATCTAAAATGAAATAAAGATTTGAATGTTTTTTATTTTCATCGTTTTTAAATCTCTCCTTATCATTTTCTTATATTTTTAAAATTATTTCCTTAACATTTACTTTTGTTTTAGTTTGAAAACCCTCTGCTAAAAATACAGTTTTATAACTGTTACCCGGTGAAAATTGTCTTCAACGTTTTAATTTAAATACATCATCAAATTCTTCTTATTCTTTCCTGAGAAATTTTTTAATACATTCATAATTTTAGAAACTTGTTCAAACCTTGAACGGAAAAAATCTATTTGTGCACTGGATAAAATACTCGAACATAACCATGGAGAAAATGTGAAAATACAATAAATGAAATGAGCTCACTTGTTTGGCTTAAATTTGATTTCTGTTTTGTCAGTGTCAATTTCTAACTTTTCAAGGATTTTTCTCCGATGTTTGTTGCGCAGTATAACTCCTCGTTTCTAAAAAAAATATTATTATCATCTTAAAATGCAAAAATACATGAAAAATGCATTTAACTAAAAAACATATTTTTGCACTTTTAGATTAGTATTTTATTTTAACTTCTCCCACAGGCTAAACAAATGTGCACTTTTACTTGTTTTCTAAGTGATCTATAGATTGCAAGCTCTCAAGGAAAGCTCGATGGTAATTAAGAAAAAAAAAATTTAAGACTAAACCGGAACAAAATATTTTTAGTGTGCTTTATGTAGTTCTTGTGTTTACCTGAAAATTTGTTCTTATGTCTTAAAAATGTAGTACTTGTGTTTGCCTAGAAATGTTTTATGTGTTTACTTGGAAATATGTTCTTGTGTTTACCTGGAAATGTGTTTTTTGGTTTACCTAATTATATGTTCTTGCGTTTACCAGGAAATGTGTTCTTGTGTTTACCAGGAAATGTGTTCTTGTGTTTACCAGGAAATGTGTTCTTGTGTTTACCTGGAAATTGTTCTTGTGTTAAACTAAAAATGTGTTCTTGTCTTTCCCTGGAAACGTGTTCTTGTGTTTACCTGATAATGTGTTTTTGTGTTTACCTGGAAACGTGTTCTTGTGTTTACCAGGAAATGTGTTCTTGTGTTCACCAGGAAATGTGTTCTTGTGTTTACCTGGAAATGTGTTCTTGTGCTTACCTGATAATATGTTCATGTGTTGACCTAGAAATGTGTTCTGTGTTTACCTGGAAGTGTGTTCTTGTGTTTCAAAAATGTAGTACTTGTGTTTGCCTAAAAATGTTTTGTGTGTTTACCTGGAAACGTGTTCTTGTGTTTACCTGAAAATGTTTTCTTGTGTTTACCTGATAATGTGTTCTTGTGTTTACCTGATAATGTGTTCTTGTGTTTACCTGATAATGTGTTCTTGTGTTTACCTGAAAATGTGTTCTTGTGTTTACCTGATAATGTGTTCTTGTATTTACCTGAAAATTTGTTCTTGTGTTTACCTGATAATGTGTTCTTGTGTTTACCTGATAATGTGTTCTTGTGTTTACCTGAAATTGTGTTCTTGTGTTTACCTGAAAATGTGTTCTTGTGTTTACCAGGAAATGGGTTCTTGTGTTTACCAGGAAATGTGTTCTTGTGTTTACCTGAAATTGTGTTCTTGTGTTTACCTGGAAATGTGTTCTTGTGTTTCCCTGGAAACGTGTTCTTGTGTTTACCTGATAATGTGTTCTTGTGTTTCCCTGGAAACGTGTTCTTGTGTTTATCTGATAATGTGTTCTTGTGTTTACCTGGAAATGTGTTCTTGAAAGCCAATCAAAGTTTCTGTCCCATCTCCAGGCAGGAAATTCAAGCCTCGGCGACCAGATAAACCTGCACATACATATCCTATGTGTTCTGTATCCTATATTCTTTTTTCTGTGTTCTGTATTCCGTATTCTGTATCTTGTGTGCTCTGTGTTTAGAATACAGAATAAAGAATACAGAATACAGAATACAGGACAGATAATACAGAACACATAATACAGAATAATACAGAATACAGAATACAGGCTACTGCATTCATTTTGTTCTGTGTCCTGTATGCTGTGTTCTGTTTTTGTTGTTCTAAAACTTTTAGGTTTAAACTTTTCAAAGCCACCGCAAAATAATTTTCCATGATGATAAGATTCTAAACTTCTAAAATTTTCAAACCTTTTTCTGTAAAAGTTTACTTTGCAAAAATAATATCCACAGAAAAAACTCCATAAAAAGGTTTAAAACACTACAGGGTTTACCTGGTTCTGAGTTTGGTATACTGGTGTGAGATCCTACTCTTGATATTATTCCAACTCCAGTCTGAATCTCCTAGACACTCCTCCCCCTTCCCTCCCTCTATATCCGGGGCTATCATCCCTCCATAGACCTGGTTCGGAGCCCGTCTAGGTGTAGAGCTAGACCTAGATCTAGATCTTACCCCCTCTCTTCCAGACCACGGAGTCTTATCATCAAACGAGTAGGCCCGAGTTTTCATTTTTTTAACATCTGAAAAGATTTTTAACACAAATTCCGTCGCAAAAATCTCAAATATTCCTTTAATCTGCAGGGTGGCCAAAATGTACGAATTGTACGGATTTTATTTTTTTAGCCCTAAAATTATACGGATTCTACGGATTGTACTGATTTTATTTTTTAAGCCATGAAATTGTATGATTTTACGGATTGTACTGATTTTAATTTTTTTTAGACCTAAAATTATAGGGATTGTACGGATTGTACGGATTTTTCTTCAAATTGTACGGATTGTACGGATTTTTAGTCTGGAAGTACATATTCCCCCTTTTTGTTGACTCATTTTAGCAAATTTGCATGAAAATTTTCAAAAAAAAAACTTGTCAAAAAGAAGTTGGTTTAACTTGTTTTCTTCATTCTAAATAATATTAGGTTGGTTGATTGTTGTTTCAATTGACAATTAAAATTCATTAATAGTTTTTTAAGAACATTGATTTTTGCTATAAATGAGTTTTCTAAAAAGCTTAAACAAACAAACCCATCCCATTGAAGAGAAGTAAAAGACTAAATGCCATGATTATAGACTTTAAGATTTTAAATGTTATTTATCCTGTTTCTCCTCTTATTCTCATCCTAATTTACTTGTTTCTCTTTTCATTCTCATCCTAATTTGCTTGTTTCTCTTATCATTCTCATCCTAATTTACTTGTTTCTCTTCTTATTCTCATCCGAATTTACTTGTTTCTCTTCTCATTCTCATCCTAATTTACTTGTTTCTCTTTTCATTCTCATCCTAATTTACTTGTTTCTCTTCTCATTCTCATCCTAATTTACTTGTTTCTCTTCTCATTCTCATCCTAATTTACTTGTTTCTCTTTTCATTATCATCCTAATGTACTTGTTCCTCCTCTCATTCTCATCCTAATTTACTTGTTTCTCCTCTCATTCTCATCCTAATTTACTTGTTTCTCCTCTCATTCTCATCCTAATTTACTTGTTCATCCTCTCATTCTCATCCTAATTAACTTGTTTCTCCTCTCATTCTCATCCTAATGTACTTGTTTCTCCTCTCATTCTCATCCTAATTTACTTGTTTCTGCTCTCATTCTCATCCTAATTTAGTTGTTTCTCCTCTCATTCTCATCCTAATTTACTTTTTTCTACTCTGATTATCATCCTAATTTATTTGTTACTCCTATTATCATCCTAATGTATTTGTTTCTCCTCTCATTCTCATCCTAATTTAGTTGTTTCTCCTCTTATTATCATCCTAATTTACTTGTTTCTCCTCTCATTCTCATCCTAATTTAGTTGTTTCTCCTCTTATTATCATCCTAATTTACTTGTTTCTCCTCTCATTCTCATCCTAATTTACTTGTTTCTCCTCTCATTCTCATCCTAATTTAGTTGTTTCTCCTCTCATTCTCATCCTAATTTAGTTGTATAAATATATGTATTAAGGTACTTTTTACAGATAGATCAAAAAGCAATGTAATGACTTCTCCTGCTGAAGAAATTTAAACCCTCACACATGAACAATTGAATTTTGATGGTTTTTTTTCAAAAATGGTTACATTTTTTAAAATGTACGGTTTGTACGGATTCTTTTTAAATGTACGCGGATTGTACGGAGTTTTTCAAAAAAATGTACAGATTGTACGGATTTTTCCCCAAAAAATGTACGGATTGTACGGAATTGTTCTGAAAATGTACGGATTTTTGTATGGATTTTTTCATAAAACGTTTTGGCCACCCTGAATCTGTAAAAAGGGTTATTTTTGAAATTATCTTCTCCAGGACTATAAAAAAGGATGCAGAGGATACAAGCAGGTTGGTAGCTAGAGTGATACAAAGGATAAATACCTATCAACACTTAAAAGGTCTCATTGGTTGATGCATAATTCACATGAATGAATAGATCTTTGTGTGGTTCTATATGATTGCATTGTATTGAGTTATTCATCCTCAATAAACTTTGAAACTAATCCAAATTTTAAAGACTAAAATGTCAATATACGACACTATGGCTTATCACTCATATATGACTAGGTATAAAATGCCATGGAAAGTGTACAAAAAGGTTTAATAAAGATAAGGTAATGTATGACATGGGGTAAAACTGATCAAAGAGGAAAGTATTGATTGAGACAAGAAATTATCCGGGGCAAAACTGATCAATGATTGTGGATAAAAATGTAAAAAATAGGGGTTAAAAATCATTAATGATTAAGTCTAAAGGTATTGTGCTTAACAGTGTAAAGCATATAAGACGACGGCAAATATTGATGAAAAATATTGTCACTTGTCAGAAGAAAAACTAAAAAATGTGATGAGCTGTGTACCTTGCTACTAAATTTTTATCATAGTTTCCTTATCTTTTGCCTAACATTATAAAATACTATATACGTACAAACGTTATATATACCGTAGGTTATTTCTATATCCCAACCCCTGCACTCCAGGCACGTTAATTGAACTAAAGAAAATTACGGTTGAAATCTTATATTTATGAAAGAAGATTTATGATTTCCCAAGATTTAAAGAAAATAATATTTTGATCTTTTTTATTGAAGATATACAACTCTACAATAAATAGAAAATACAATTATCGCGCGATAAGTAAAAATAATGTTTATTGTGTTGATATTTCGTTTTCATATTGCAGTTAATTTTATAGTTTCTGCAAAAACTTTAAAGTAGTAATTTGCATCACAAACTAATGGAAAACCCCAGAAGTATTATGATTATAAACATTTGGTTGGTTTAGAGCTTTTTAAAGGGTCTACTGCAGTCTACAGAATCAATTTCGGTTGACCCACTATAACTATATCAAAAGTGGAAAGTTCAAATCACAACGACACCCTTCAAATTACAAAGTAAAAATAAAGAAGATATCGTAATTATATTCTCCGACATATTAAATTCTCACTATCATTTTCTTTTCTCTTCAACATAAATCCGCAAGTCACTTTGGCTGAAAAACCACAATTGAAAAAGACAAGCTTTAATTACATGAAGGGTTACTTGAAATTACGTCTACAGTCCGCTTCATCAGCATTCTCAAAGATCTTTATGTGTATATTTTCACAAATAAATCAATTTTTTGATTATTTTTTCTTAAAAAATTATGTCTTTTTTCTTAATTTAGATGTCGCAGTCACCATTTCACTTGGATCTTATCGGGACATTCAGGGTTAGAGGAAATCTCAGATTTTCTTTTTCAAAACTGAAATTTTTTCCAATTTTAAGATTGAATCCTGCTGAGTTCTCATATAATCCTGCTGAGTGCTCATATAATCCTGCTGAGTGCTCATATAATCCTGCTGAGTGCTCATATAATCCTGCTGAGTGCTCATATAATTCACAATCTCTCAGATTGGAAATTAAAGTAGTGACAAAGGATATTGTGAGTTTACAATAGGGTTTAAAATCTGATAAATGCACCTGCACTATTAAAGTATTTAATGTATACTGGAGTAGTGTATGAGGATATGGGTGTGTGTTTGAGTAAAAACCAAGGGAACGAGACTAGTATGGGACTTTCTTTATAATTCACCCGTATTCTTTACACCTTTCAAAACAATGGTATTGTTGGGTCCTCTGTAGTACTGGGCAAATTGGACTTTTTTCATTTTTTATCAATAGTATTTTTTGGGAAAGGGAGGGTATCTGGAAGATAGTTAGGTATTTAAAGATTGAAAAGAAAACTAAGGTAATATCTCTTGTTATATGTGTTTTTAATATAAGTGTATATAAGCCTTTTTTATCCATGCAGAACTTAAAAAGTGGAAACATCAAAAATTTGAATTTCTATGCGCTTTTAGTTTATTCTTTCAAAAAAACAAAGGAATTGAGTCATGGCCACAAACTCAAATTTTCTAATCCCTATATTTCTGCAATTTGATAGTGTAAGCCTTTGTTTTTTAACTTAAGACTATTTGATCTAACAGAATTTATAGTTTTGACATTGGGTTGCAAAGCTGATATGCCATCATATGGTTTAGAAAATCCAAGTGTGTGTTGCAAAGCTGATATGCCATCATATGGATTAGAAAATCCTAGTGTGGGTTGCAAAGCTGATATGCCATCATATGGCTGAGAAAATCCAAGTGTGTGATGCAAAGCTGATATGCCATCATATGGTTTAGAAAATCCTAGTGTTGGTTGCAAAGCTGATATGCCATCATAGGGCTTAGAAAATCCTAGTGTGGGTAGCAAAGCTGATATGCCATCATAGGGCTTAGAAAATCCTAGTGTGGGTTGCAAAGCTGATATGCCATCATAGGGCTTAGAAAATCCTAGTGTGTGTTGCAAAGCTGATATGCCATCATAGGGCTTAGAATATCCAAGTGTGTGTTGCAAAGCTGATATGCCATCATATAGGGCTTAGAAAATCCTAGTGTGTGTTGCAAAGCTGATATGCCATCATAGGGCTTAGAAAATCCTAGTGTGTGTTGCAAAGCTAATATGCCATCATAGGGCTTAGAAAATCCTAGTGTGGGTTGCAAAGCTAATATGCCATCATAGGGCTTAGAAAATCCTAGTGTGTGTTGCAAAGCTAATATGCCATCATAGGGCTTAGAAAATCCTAGTGTGGGTTGCAAAGCTAATATGCCATCATAGGGCTTAGAAAATCCTAGTGTGGGTTGCAAAGCTGATATGCCATCATATGGTTTAGAAAATCCTAGTGTGTGTTGCAAAGCTGATATGCCATCATATGGCTTAGAATATCCAAGTGTGTGTTGCAAAGCTGATATGCCATCATATGGTTTAGAAAATCCAAGTGTGGGTTGCAAAGACTCAATTCCTTTCTATTTTTTTATTCTCCAAAAACCTTTAGTTGCTGCACCTATCTTCCATAGTTTTCCCTTACTCGTGCACGTTATTAACTTTTCATTAATTCACAAATTTGAACTAGTTGTGCATTCTGAACAGTTTAAAATACTTTCTGCAGTAGTAATTTAATACCATATAGCTAGCTATATTATAAACAAATATTTAGTTTGTTAAACATTTTCAAAAGATGAAGAGGAAAACTGGGGTGCACCATCTTCTTCTAAAGTTTTGGGATTGCCAAAGTGAGTTTAAGTATACTGAAGGTTAGGGGGGTAGGGTCC